AAATAATATTTGTCTTTTTGTTAGCTTTTCTCAGTTAGCATGATATTTCGTGATTCATCCATACTGTAGCATGTGTCAGGACTTCACTCCTTCTTTTGGCTGAACTTCATTATTTTGCACGTGGCTATTTAGTCCCTCTAGCATCATTTGTTGAAGACAGTAGGTTTTTTTTTCACAATTACTTTTTTCACGTTTATGAATAACATTACAATAAATATCCTTTTCAACCTGTCCCATATTTTCCCTAAGAAAAATTCCCATAACCCCTTTTAAAGGCTGTGATTAATATATATATATAGAGAGATATAATTAATATATAAATATATACTTATATAACCTCTTTAAATTTTATTGATTTGATGAAAACATCAAGTGACAGTGAAAGTCATGGTGTCATTAAACCAGAAAATTTTGAAAAAATATTTAGGAAATAAGAAAATTACTATATATTTATCTCTCCAAACTTCCTTGTAAAAGGACATTAGGAATCCAACATAGCAAATTCAAGTACCCCTTTCCCCGTACTCTCAATAGCCTTGTATGTTATAAAAATTATCTAAATCTTTGCTGATCAATGTGGCATGGGAATCCAAATCAAGTTGAAAAGTTGAAAGGAATCTTGGATTTTTACAGAAAGATCATACAAGAATAGGACTTTCTATAAACCCATGTAGAGTTCTTTTTTTTTTTTTTTTTTTTAGAGACAGAGTCTCACTCTGTCGCCCTTAGTAGAGTGCCATAGCATCACAGTTCACACACACAACAACCTCCAGCTCTTGGGCTTAGGTGATTTTCTTGCCTCAGCCTCCCCAGTAGCTGGGACTACAGGCGCCCACCACAATGTCTGGCTATTTTTTGTGGCAGTTTGGCTGGGGCCGGCTTTGAACCTGCCACCCTTGGTATATGGGGCCGGCGCCCTACTCACTGAGCCATAGGCACTGCTCCCATGTAGAGTTTTATATATATCTAGCTAAGGAAGCAAACTAAACTCTTCCTCTTAGAAGAGCGAGACTAGAAATGGAAAGTATAATTAGGTTCTTCTGCTAGATAATGTAATTTTAAAGTATTTCTTTTCTCAGCACAAAGTGACAAGACAGCTGTTTGTGACTTTTTAAGTGTGTCCTTCTTCATTAGTGTTCAATGGAGAGTTACCAAACACAAAAACTATGCCAAGAAATAAACTAAATTGATGTTAGAGGGATTTTCTTATAGCCACACAATAATTATTAAGGAAAAAGAGAAAGCTCTTTTGTTGGTAATCTGCTTTTCAGGGTAAGTTGAGCACTTCCAAATTTGTACTGGGTAGTATTTTCATAGTTCAAGTAGCTTTTGGCCATGTCTCCTTTGCTTCTCTGAAACAAACATACCAAGTATATCTTTATTTTGTTTTGTCTCAAGCTGTTGTTACAGCATAAAGACAATTTTATGGTGGATGCTTTGTCAGTGGGAACTTGTTATTAATATGGAAATCCTGAGAGGATCATCTATTCACACAAAACAAGAAACCAGGGGGAAATTAGCTTTCCACATTTCATCATAAATCATGCATAATTCAAAGAAGAGAGGAAACTATTGATGAGGCTGAACAAAATGAGTTTTTTGTTGCCAGAAAGAATAAAAATATTAGGTATAAAGCTTTCTAATTTCCTAAATATTTTTTCAAAATGTTCTAAAGTTTAATGCCACCATGACTTTCACTGTCATGTGATGTTTTCATCAAATCAATAAAATTTAAAGAGTCAGAGGGACGTTATAAATGTTTTGTCCAACTCTATTTTATATATTGGGCCCCTATAGCCCAAAGAGATGAAGAGACCTGCCCAAAGCCACAGAGAACTAGTGTCAGAGCTGGAACTACATGTCTCCTCACTCCTGTATTTGTTTAGAATGTAGTCTAGTCTCTTCTGCAAAGGGCTGACATGAACAATTGTTACCAATTTACTTCGCAGTCAGGAAAGCCACAGAGATTTCCAAGTGGATAAAAGTATCTATTGGTCAATTTACAGGATTCAGTTAATAATGGCATTTATTTAATGCATTTATTCTGAGAGATTATAGTCACTAAATCTCCCACTTTGAGAGTGTTGAGCAAATTTCCAAGATTCCTATGTAATGTATGATTCTCTCTATCTATACATGATAGACACTTATGAAAATCAACCCTCTTTACCATTGGGTTAAGAACCATACTGTAAGAAATCTGTGAGATATTACAGAATTTCAGAGAAACAAAGCCACTTATTTGCCAGAGTATTTATGGTTCCTTTATCTTTTCCAAAAGTACAATGTCAACTATCTGACAGTGAAGTCTACCTATACGATAGATTTTTCAAGCTCAACTTTTAAGATATAAAATATTTAAAAACATACTTTGGGCAAATTGTGATTAGTTTTCCCCATAGATATCCAAAGTATCACATATGTATTTTCATCATGGATATTTATATATAGTTGCTTCTAGGTAAATTTTAAAAATTCATTTAGGAGACACGATTAAATATATCCTGTAGTGGGAGTACTAATAATTCACATAGCAGGGACAAAGATTAGTGCAGAATTAGAATCTTAACTCATGTGCTTTTAATAGCTCATTTGATTTGTCTCAACTCTAAAGAGCCAATGAAACAGACCAAGAGCCAATGAAACAGACCATCTAAATACAAACTCCACACTCATCCCTCCTCCCTTTCTCACGTAAGAGATTTCTAACTGTGAGCATTGTCCAACAATAGAATGAACTGTCTTGTAAAGGACTCAGTTTGTTCTTGTAAGATTTCAAAGTAAGGCTAAAAAATAATCTGCCTGTAACTCTTAAAAGGATTCCTACATTGAGAGGTAGATTAAGACTTCTAAAATCCTTTAATTCTAGAATTCTATGATTCCGATATCTTTCTATTCTACTTTTATAGTACAGGGGTCCTTTTATCTATGTGTCTATAGTCATCTTATCATAGATTACCCTTGTATCATTATCACTTTTGTACTTCTGTTATCTTGCTTGAAGATACATATGATAACTTACTCATCTTTGTATATCCTATAATTTTTAATGTAGTTTCCTATACACAGAAAGCATTAGATATTTACTGAATATACATGAAATGACAAGTTTTATTGGTTGACTCAAACATTTTTAAAAACTAGGTGGCACCTGTGGCTCTGTGAGTAGGGCACTGGCCCCATATATGGAAGGTGGCAAATTCGAACCTGGCCCCGATCAAACTGCAATTAAAAAAAACCAAAAAAAAAAAAAAAACAGCCAGGTGTTGTGGCGGGTGCCTGTAGTCCAGGTACTTGGGAGGCTGAGGCAAGAAAATCACCTAAGCCTCAGAGCTGCAAGTTGCTGTGAGCTGTGATGCCACAGCACTCTACCAAGGGTGACAAAGTGAAACTGTGTCTCTAAAAAAAAAAAAATTAAAAACTATATTTTTTCCTGGTCTGAGAATCCAACTAATTACTATAGTGAGTTTCCATGTTGAATCTCAGTGAATCATTAGGGTAAATTTGGAGCACTCCTGTTTTATAACATTTTAAGTAAAATAGGAATTCTTGGTTGAACATAGATTTAAAGCTTAAGATGATGCTTTATAGTCACCTCTTGTTCTTACATTTTTAAGATGAGTTATAGGATAATTTAAAAAACTAAGATAAATGAAACAAGCAAAATCAAAATTCCAAAATTACATTTTTGTGGGTTGAATTGTGTCCCCACAAAGACATGTTTATGTCCTAACCCCTAGGACCTGTGAATTTAACCTGATCTGGCAATAAGGTCTTTGAAGATATAATCAAATTAATTAAGATACGATACCAATGAACTGAGCTGGACCTTAAATCCAATGACCGATATCTTTTTTTTTCTTTTTTTTTGAGACAGAGTCTCCTGATGTTACCCTTGGTACAGTGCTGTGGCATCACAGGTCACAGCAACCTTAAGCTATTGGGCTTATGTGATTCTCTTGCCTCAGCCTCCCAAGTAGCTGGGACTACAGGTGCCCACCACAATGCCCAGCTATTTTTTGGTTGTAATTGTCATTATTGTTTGGCAGGCCCAGACTGGGTTCGAACCTACCAGCCCCAGTGTATGTGGCTGGCACCCTAGCTGCTGAGGTACAGGCACCAAGCCAATGACTGGTATCTTTATAAGAAGGTCTATGAAAGACCCAGGGACACAGAATCTCATGTGATGACAAGAGGCAGAGATTAGAGTGATAAGTCTGCATGTCAGGGATTGCCAGCAACCACCAGAAGCTGGGGGACACATATGGAACAGATTACTTCTCAGAGCCTCCAGGAGGAAACCAACCTTGCCAATACCTTGACCTTAGATTTAAAACCTCCAGAACAGGGGTTCTCAACCTACGGGTCACAACCTCTTTTTAACAATTAAAGTACGTTGCGGCATTAGGAAGGTTGAGAACCACTGCTCCAGAATCGTGAGAGAATAAATTACCATTGTTTTAAGCCACCCATGGTACTTTGTTATGACAGCACTAAGAAACCAATACATGTCCTTCACTATGACAAACTGATGATATGACAACGCCTTAGCAGGTTTAGAAGGACAAAACACATCCTTACCATGGTTTTAAGAAATCAATCACAAAACATCATGAAAAAGTTACAAATGCTTTGATATGAAAAATCAATAAATGGAAAATCATTTAAGAAATAGATCCTCCCAACACACAAGCTCAAAAGGTAACAGTGGAGAACCAACTATGGAATCCTTGATTCTGAACATATTATAGAGAGTTGTAGCCTCCTAGTTTACATCTAAATCAATAAAAACTAGCTGAACAAAGTGGAAGGAACTGTCTGAGTTGAGAAAAGTATATTGAGATAGTCAAGATTACCAAGACTTCCTGATAAAAGTTCTTTACACAACTGGGCACCAGTCTCACCCCTATTTACTTTCTTCATCCTCAGTCTTTGTATTGGAACATTCTACAAAACTTTTAGTCTGAAATGTTAATAGTGCATATGGACCTTATTGACTGTCAATGATCTCTAATCTCATCAAGAAACATCACTGTAACTGTATTTAATTCCTTGAGGGTGCCCTCGTTGTTCACAATTGGCCCACTGAAGGTCTGGCAAGTAAAGAAGCTGAGTGACAAGGCAATAACTATAGCTCATTTGTTCTTAGCCAATTAAAAGAATCCTGCCCTAGTTTCAGGAGACCTTCATGATCCTAGTCATCTTATAAATATTTGGTTTCATCTGTCCATAATTGAATAGACTTTTCCCTCATAAATATATATTCTGATAAATTCCATCAGGGTCACTGTCAAAAATTTCTTAGTGCCATAGGCTTTTTCCCATGTAGAGGCATACCTACATGAGATTTCCCAACAACAATAAAAATAATTTTATATATATTTTAGTTCCTGTTTCATTAGCTGAGGCAACTTAAACCATTCTCAACTTCATTTCATAAGGATATATTTCTATTTTTCACACTGATAGTACTACCCCCAATTACTTAAAGCACTTTATATTTATTTATTTATTTTTTGAGACAGAGTCTCAATTTGTCACCCTTGGTAGAGTACTATAGCATCACAGCTCACAGCAACCTTCAACTCTTGGGCTTAAGTGATTCTCTTGCCTCAGCCTCCTGAGTAGCTGGAACTACAGGCACCCACCACAATGCCCAGCTATTTTTTGTTGCAATTCTCATTGCTGTTTTAGCAGGCCAGGCTGCGTTCGAACCTACCACCCAGTGTATTGGGCCGGCGCCCTTACCCACTGAGCCATAGGCACCGCCCCACTTAAAGCACTTTGAATTTAAAATTTTAAATACATTATTTTTCCTATTTAAAACAACTTAAGACTTTTTAATAGAAAACTGAGATTTAAACAAACATTTATAGCCCTTAGGGAACAATTGGAAGCACATGATTCTTGCAGAAAAATCCGAACTTATTAAGCCTGGATTTAATCAAATCAGTAGTCATGATAATGAATAAAAGGTAATTCATAAAAATGTAAAAGACTACAATTTATCAACATTGTCTTTTTTCCACATTTAATTAGAATACAAAATTGATCAGGGTTAATCAGGTTGAGTACAAACTGAGTGAAATCCCAATTACATATCATTTTCTTTCTATTCAATTACTATTTTTTTCCCTGGAGACAGAGTCTCACTTTGTTGCCCAAGCTAGAGTGCGTGGCATCAGCCTAGCTCACAGCAACCTCAAACTCCTGGGCTCAAGGGATCCTTCTGCCTCCGCCTCCCACGTAGCTGGGACAACAGGTGCCTACCACAATTTCTGGCTAGTTTTTCTATTTTAAGGAGAAATGGGGTCTTGCTCTTGCTGAGGCTGGTCTCAAACTCCTGAGCTCAAGTAATCCACCCACCTCAACCTCCCAAAGTGCTAGGATTACAGGTATAAGCCACTGCTCCCGGCAAGGACAACATCTATGAAAATATTACTATACTAAATTTAAGAGCATGCACAAGAATTAGACATGTAAGTTCCATAGATAAAAGAATTTTAGGAAATTGAGAAAACAAAATAAATAGGAGATAGTCTGAATTATACCACACAATTCTAATATTGTTCTAACTTGATTTGTTTTTCTATCTGTGTGTGTGTGTGTATGTGTGTTTCTCTATTGGTGGGAAAATCTTGGGATGGGTGAATCATTTAAATGAAAGCTTATTTCCTACTATAAATGGAGAACCAATAGCAGAAGGTGACACAGGAAAGTTCATGACAGTGCTGATTTCAGCTGGTGAATTACCGGATGATCCAGCATGCTGCTATTTCCATCAAGAGTATCTGAAGATAGACCAGGAGAAGAAAATGGCACTCATTGATGAGAGAACTCAAGAGATCTCTTTGTACAGTCTGCTTTGTTTACACATGAATGCAAAATAAATGATGCAAACAACAGACACTAGTCACAAGGGTAGTTTCACAAGAGTTGTACAACAAAACCGACAGTAACAATAAATAGAAATCCACTCCTGTATTTCCCATTTCTATTTTAATGCATGCTTTTTTAGGCATACTTTTCAACAATACTCGCAACCCAATGAAGCAGACAAAAATCCAAGGTAAGAGTACAGTATAAATGTTTTACCACAACAAATAAGTGAGATGATGGCTATGTTAATCAGTTTGATTTAAGCTTTCCACATTGTATATCAAATCAGCACATTGTTCCCCATAATTGTACACAGTTATGATCTAACAAAAAATGCGTAATAAAAAATAATAATAATCCAAGGTATAAAACACAGGCAAAAGATGACTTTTTTCCAGTGATGCATTTTTACATATAAATATTCCTCTAATACCTCTCAATCTAATGCCAAAACCTCACAAAATACATCCACCGTATACTAATGTCACACACACATTAGAGAAAAGAACTCAAGTTGATAGTATCAATTTGGGATATTAGTTTTTATAACTTCTAAAGATATTTAATAATGTACCATATTTCTGAATATATACACTAGCCAAAATAGACTTAAAAGCCAAGGGAAAAAAGCCAATAAATGTTTAAAATCTCACTTTAATACTCACCACACATTTTTTTCTGACACTCCGGAAGTATTAGAAGAAAGCATATTGGTCGTGCCTTGGAAAAACCTCTTTGGCTGATATTCAAGTGCCATTTCACCTATGACACAATAGTAGTCAAGGTAAATATGTTTTATTTAACATTTTTATTATGCTTTTAATTGCAAAAGTAATACTTGTTCGTTGACATTTTTAAAATATGGAAAAATACAAAGTCACCATTATCCAGAGATAACTATTCTTCAGTAATTCCTGAGTGTATACATATATATAATTGTTTTTTAGACAAAATCAGGTTTGCATTGTCTATAACGATATTTAATCTATTTTTGCTTTTAATGATTATCATTTTCTTAAATGATCAACTAAATTCTACAACATGATTTTATATAGCATGCCTGTCTAATGAGTTTAATCTCATTCCTTATTTAAAATCTGTAAGTTGTTACTATCTTTATTTTACTAAACATATACAATGAACCAAAGAGATAATTTCTTCCATAGTACACAAGGAACAAAATAAATCTATTTTTAGAGATTAAGGAAAAACATCTCTCAAAAAACTGTGTGGCTATAATTTTTGTCTTGAAAGTGCATGTTCAAATCTGTACATTTCACATTCATATAATAACTATATCTAGACATGAGAAAAACTGATATTTAAGCCCATAACTACTAGGGTATAATGTTTTGAGATGATAAAACGCTAAGATCACACCATTGCAAAGTATCCCTACAGACAGAGATTCCACAGACCTTCCCTAGGCGTGTAATCACGGCTCATAAAGTTCAAAAGCAGTCTAGTATTCTGTCCCTTGCCAGATCACACTTATGTCACTGTGGAAAAACTACCTATCTCTACTTTTTAGTTTAAACTGAAAACATGACAAATCAAAACCAATTGTTCATAAAGAAAATTAAATTTTTCTGTTCTAACACCTACTTATAAAATGATATTTATAGCTGCCCTATGTCTCAAGATTTCTTAGAATTCCTACTTGGAGTCTTATTTGCTCCTGCTCATTCCTTATAGAAGTAACTGCTGCTTATCACCATAAAATATGCCTTCCTACACTGGATACTTCTAGCTTGATCTCATACTCTCTTCCACTTTACGGAGTCCTCTTTTTTTTTTTTTTTAACTTTTTATTTCTCAGGATCTCTATTTTATTTTTATACCACCTCTCCCTTAGCATTTCAATTTTATTAATGGGCTCCAAGTAGAATATAGTTTGTTGTTTCCCAAATGAATTTCAAAATATTTAAATAAAATTAGATTTCTGTTTATCTGTTATTGTATCTGGCTAGATGCATTTTTACCAAATTTTTATAGGGTATGCTCAGGAGGGTATGACTTAAAACACAGACACTGTGGTACACACAGAATTCACTCTGGAGTTCCCTCAGGAATACCTCAAAGAAATAAGGCAGTTGTTATCTAGAGCAGCTGAAAACCAGGTATAGGAGGCATGTGTGAGAAATGTCATATCTACTAAGACACAGGGTAGAAACCACGTCTATTTGTTAAATTTGAACTACAAAAACCATTTTTTAAATCATAAATTCTAAGAAAAATCCAGATGCTTTCAATAATAATAAAATTTTTATGTATAAATATCCTAAAAGGAAAACTACTTTAATTTGGTAAACACCATCTGCAAATTAAGCACACTTTTAAAAAAAGATCCCAACTTCTCAATATCTCTTAAACTACTGATAGAGTTAAATACAGAGGGTGCCAAAAACACATGCACATTTTAAGAAGGAAAAATCTGTATTAAAATAGTAATACTCAGGCTCAGCGCCCATGGATCAGTGTTTACAGCACCAGCCACATGCACTGGGCTGGTGGGTTCGAACCCAGCCAGGGCCTGCTAAACAGCAATGACAACAATAAAAACAACCAAAAAATAGCCAGGCATGTGGCAGGTGCCTGTAGTCCCAAGCTACTTGGGATACTGAGGCAAGAGAATCGCTTAAACCCAAGAGTTTGAGGTTGCTGTGAGCTATAACAGCATGGCACTCTACCTAGAGTGACATAGTAAGACTCTATCTCAGAAAAAATAAATAAATAAAATGGTAATACTCAATATATACTGAAAAAAAATGAATACAAGTGACATTTGAGTACTTCTTGTAATCACAGAAATAAAACATGACTTGAATATTATAATTTTAACACATTTTTTTTCCCTTTCTTAAAATGTGTAAACTTTTTCTTGGCACCCTCAGTATTTTTCAACTAGCCCAAACTTCACAGCATAGGCAAAAGACCCCTAAAGCTTAGTCACTGATATATTTTCATAAAAGAACGTACTCAGTTTAGAAAAGACTGTTTTCCAGAATTTATCTAGTCTTGGTCTTAGAATATATTAATAAAAGGTACGTGCTAAGTTATATATGTTGTTAAGAATATGCCATTAATAAATCTAAAACACACAAAACATTGAAGTGTATTTCAGTTTCTTTCCTTATAGTTGCACTTCTTCTTTCCCCATCTTACTGGATTTTCACAAGTATACATTTTTAAAGTTTAATATCCTCCTCTTTACCCATCTCTCTTTCCTCATTGTAGCTAAACTTTATACTAAATATGTAATACATGGTGGTCTTTCAAAAGGAAGAAGAGCATAGCTTAGTGAGGGTAGCATTGAGAAGTAGGGTACAGGACTGTGGAAGGAAAAAAAAAATACTTTTGGGCCAGGTGCAATGGCTCATGCCTGTAATCCTAGCACTCTGGGAGGCCAAGGCAGGTGGACCACCTGAGCTCAGGAGTTCAAGACCAGCCTGAGAAAGAGCAAGACCCCGTCTCTAAAAACAAAGTAGCTGGACATGGTGGCAGGGACTTATAGTCCCAGCTACTTAGGAGGCTGCCACAAGAGGATCACTCGAGCCCAAGAGTTTGAGGTTGCTGTGAGCTATGATGCCATAGCACTCTACCGAGGACAACAAGGTGAGACTCTGTCTCCAAAAAAAAAAAAAAAAAACACTTCTGATCTTTCCACTGCCCTTTATTACTGAGTAGGTGGGTCACTTTCCATATATTTAACCAAAATAACCTCCATAAAGAAGCTAAAAACAAACACACACCTTTTCATATGTATTTTTAGTGTTGTAGGCAGATCTAATTTGTACCAACCTATCCACATGGTATCTATATATGAGTGCGATGGGTGGTGGGGCAAGGGTTGAGATTCAGCAAAATACTCAACGACTAGCTCACCCTATTTATTTATTCATTTGTTCCCATTCTTGTTTCAAAAGTATTTAAGACAATTAGCTTGGTAAATACATAGTGAAAATCATAATAGCCAGCTAAACTGGAATTAAATTTATTAATTCACATTTAAAGAGCACTTTATAGTTTTCAAGATATTTTTATACATAGTTCCATTTGGGTAAAATGAAAGCTCTAGTAACTTATCAAATATATTTTGAATAAATAAATTATTTAAAAATGAATTTTTATATAACATTTGACTTTAGATATGTTTTAAAGATAATTTAAAGTTGTATTTATTTCTGCTGATAGATGAAAGTACCTTTTCTTTTTAATGGTCCAAGGATACTTGGTCTAATAATGTTGGTGGAATTTTGACTTCTTCTAAAATAAAATCATCATGATCATTACAAGAAGAAATTTTGAACGAAATCAGCAATAATAAATTCATTATAACAGAGCTAAGGACATACACAAAAAGAGAACTCTGTGCAGGACATAATATCATATCATTTTACTGCTTTTCTCTACACATGGGTTAAAACAGGAATACCTCAGAAGCAAACTATCTCCTAATTCATAAGGATTCAGGATTTTGAATCCTATAGTCTAGAAGGATCCACAGGTCTGGCTGGGACTTGCCTTGAATCAAGGTAAAAATCATGAATTAAGTGTTTTAAGTTCTAGAGATAGCTCTATCCTTATTAACCAACTTGGTCAGAGGAAGATTATATCCAAGCTCAGTTAAGGAATTACTGAATTCTTCTTATGTTCTCACAAGTTCTTAGTTACTAGGTTTTTTCAATATACAAAATAATAAACTCAAACAATTACATTTTAATTTCACTAAAAAGAAATAACTTCTCTGGCTGTCACAGAACCTGCAGGTATAATTTCTTTTAAGTTTCTAAAATTCTTATTGTATAAACAAATTGGTATTTTCATACAATATAAACTTACTTTGTTAACTGTCGTGAAGGACTGGGAATAGGACTTGGAGGCAAAGCAGTGCAACTCACACAAGCTTGTAACGATGGAGAGAAACACTGCTAAAACCAAATTGGAACAGAAGTTTTAAAACTATCACTTTTTTTAAGAAAGCAGATCATGGCTTGGCGCCTATAGCTCAACCGGCTAAGGTGCCAGCCACGTACACCTAAGGTGGCGGATTCGAATCCCCAGCCCGGACCCACCAAACAACAATGACGGCTGTAACCAAAAAATAGCCGGGCGTTGTGGCGGGCGCCTGTGGTCCCAGCTACTTGGGAGGCGGAGGCAAGAGACTCG